GCAAAGAAGCGCGGCAGTCGGCATAATTATGCCTGAGGAATTAACTGGTCTCACCACACATACTGCATCACCTGGAAGAAGGCAGTTTAATTGAAAAGTTGAGTGGCTTACCAAAGGCTCAGTTCTGGCACCAGCAGGGAGACAACACCCTGAAAGGATGGGGGTTCTAGTTTACAGAATGAAGTATATCTTTGAGTCAGAGACCATTACAGGGCACGGTCGTCCCCCTGGCCAGCATACATGGGTCCAGGCATCAAGGGATGGGACTGGAAATGACTCCTCTCACTATTACACCTAATAACCACCTGCAGAGTTTTTGCCTCTTATCCTGAAAAATTTGAGCCTGCTGATTTGGACATCTTTGTTCCTAAGTGAGTCTTGTTCCACAAGGAGACAAAACAACGGTACCATTGAACTGGCAAATGAGACTGCTACCTGGCCATTTTGGGTTCCTTATGCCACTAAACCAATGGACCAAGAAAAAAGGAGGGGAGCAGGTCCAGTCTATTGGCTAGAGTGATTGGTCCGGAGTCTCCTGGTGAAGTTGGGTTGCTGCTACATAACGGAGGCAAGGAAGACTATGTTTGGAACCCAGAGGACTCCTTGGGGGTACCTATTAGTATATCCATGACCCTGCAAAAGCAGGACTCAGATCCTTCAGGAAGGTTTTGGGTCACTCTACCAGGTATAGACCTCAGAGCAGCAGCAGAAGCTCTACCTGAGGGCAAGGGAAATATGGAATGAGTATTGAAGAAGGGAGTCATGAATATCAACTATGACCTCGTGACCAGTTATAAAAGTGACCAGTTACAAAAACTAGGCTGTGGTAGCTTTGTGTGTGTTTCTTTGCTCCTTGTAGGCATGTTTATTTGTATATACTGATCATTTTCTTTTTTGCCTCTTTATTTACAATTTATTGAAGGTCAACTTTATATTTTAGTCTTTAGGTAATAAAACATTTAGTGGGGCCCTGACAAAATTTGTGGAGCAATTAATGTAGCTGGCTATGGATACAGTGACTGTTGGCACTGTACGTCTTCTCATGTTGAGGGGAGCGTGAGAATGTCACTTTTAAGAAGGATAGATATATATTGTTAGTAGGAATATAATATGGAAGTTCAATTATGTATAGAGTGGTGCACGGGAGCTGAGTAGCCAAAAAGATGGACGTTAGCTTCACATTCATCCTTCAGAACCTGTCCTGCAGTAACAGACTGGACGGGCATTTCTCCCCTGCAGTGGGCACAATGGCAAACTTTGTCAGCAGAGGGCGCTGGAGGGATACTGGAGGAAGGAAAGGGCTTGGCTTCCGGCTCCAGTGAGCTCGGGTTTGCTTTTCCTTGCTCCTGCACGGTGGTCTATCACTACGCACAGGGACACCTAGGGTAAATGGTGGTGCTCTGCTCTAGCCACACACCAAGTGCACGCACTCCCTCGGCAACCTCGCACACCTGGTCGAGGCCTGGTGACCACTTTGCTGTGGCCCTCCTGTCAAGGACACTGCGTACTCCAGGCCTTGCACCTGTGGCAGCTCCCTAACTCTGTGCACTTGCCCCCTCAGCCTTGTTTATCTATGCCCTGGACGGTGTGTGTCCACAGCAGTGTCCCAACTCCCTCCACACGTCTGCCCACCGACCTTGGCTCTTCTCCCCAGAAGCTTGATTCCCCTGGTCCGCCAGGCCCTGTGTGGCCATCCTGCACTCCAGGCCTTGTGCACACAGGACACTCCAACTCTTTTGGAGCACCTGCCCGACAGCCTTGGCTCGCCTGTGCCCTGGAGGGTTGTTTCCTGGGATCCTCCCTATGTGGACACTGTGTGCTGTGGGCCTGGTGCCTATGGGTGGGGTTCCTACGCTCCTAGATCATCTCATCAGCCTCAGCTTGCCTGAGTCCTGGAGGGTTGCTTCTTCTCTGGCACCTGTGAATCGGCTCTGGCCTGGGCAGACCAGTGAACTTGTCCACCACCCAGTGGGCTGCAGTGAGGTCTGAACCCCAGCCTTGGGAGTGGGGGACCCTACCTTGGGTACTCTCCCTCAGCCCTCAGGTAACTCTTTTTTTTTTTTTTTTTTTTTTTGCAGGTCTAGCCCTTCAGGTACCGTTTTAGAGTTCTCTTTACATCTTTATCATTCCTTCTTATAATAATTTAATGATTCTATATATTAAACTTGTCATGTTTAATTTACCGTGTAGTTTCTGTTTCCTAATTGGACTTAAACTGAACCACTGAGCTCTCTTACTGTTACTCATGTCTAATTCCACTCTGTATTGTCAAAGAGCATACTCTTTACCCTTTTAAATGTATTTATTCTTTTAAATGTACTGAGAATTGTTTTATGGCCCAGCATTTGATACATAGCGGTCAATATTCTGTGTATGTGAAAAAAATTTGTATTCTATATATGTATTATAAAGAAATTCATAGGAAAAGCATTTTAAATAGTCTATATTTACTCAGACACTATTTCTGATGTGTTCCATTCCCTTCTGAGGACCTGAATTTCCAGCTGTTATCATTCCCCTTCAAGCCAAATAAATCCTTTAACATTTCTTATAAGGCAGGGTTGTTGGCCACCTATTCTCTTAGTTTCCTTTTATCAGAGAACGTCTTTATCTCAACTTCTTTCTTGAAGTATATTTTTGGTAAACTTAGAATTCTGAGTTGACCCTCTTTTTCTTTCAGTATTTTAGAGATGTTACACTCTCTTCTGGCCTGATTTTTACTGAGAAGGCAGCTGTTAATTGTCGTTCTTGTGTATGTGAGGAACCGAGGAGAGGAGGCCTCTTGCCACCAACCGTGTGAGTGAGCCATCAGGGAAGCAGGTCCTACAAGGCTCAGCCAGGCCTCCAGACGACTTCAGCCCGTCTCCGCTGAAACTTCATGGGAGACCCTGAACCACCTAGCTAAGCTGTTCCAGGATTCCTGGCCCTCAGAAAATATGAGCTAATAAGTGTTCATCACTTTAAGCCACCAAAACCAAATAAAACTGTGTTATGTGTTGTTTCTCTCTTGCTGCTTTCAAGATTGGCTCTTCGGCTTTAGCTGTCAATAATTGACTATGATGTTCCTGGGTGTGGCCTTTCTGTGTTTACCAGGGTGGGTCGTGGAGTATCTAAAATCGGTGCATTTCTTTCAACAAATTTGGGGAAATTTTGGCTATTTCTTTACATTTTTTTTCCTGCTCTTTTCCTTCTGTTTACCTTCTAGGACCCCAATTACATATGTTAGACTGTTTGATTATCTGACTAGTCTGTGAGACTTTTAAAAAAATCCTTTTTTTCCTCTGTTCTACAGCACGAGTAATTTCTATTGGTCTATCTTTAGTTCATTGACCCATTCTGTAATCTCTTTTGCTGTTAAGTCCAACTATTTAATTATATATTTTTCAATTCTTGTAATTTTTATTTTCAGGGTTTCTATTTTTCAAAAATCATTTGTTTCTATGCTGAGGATGCCTATCTCTTTAATCACCGAGAACATATTTTCATTGCTGCTTTAATATCCTTGTCTGTTAATTCCAATATCTGGATCATCTCTGCATTGGTGTCAGTTCTGAATGTTAAATTGTGGAGGCTCTGACATCTTTTTGTCTCCAGAGAGTGATGGTTCCTTTACCAGGCAATTAGCTCGGTTGGATACAGACTGCAAGTCACACTTACTGAGTGGCGGCTCCAATCTTAGCTAAGCTGAGCTGCACTGAGTCTGACCTGCACATCTGTGGTCCAGAGCTTGGGTGAAGATGTGGGCAGACAGGACTGGAGGGTGCCCCCCTCTCTGGCTCTTCCTTTCTGGACTCCCATCTCTCTCTCCAGTGGCTTCAGCTGCCCTGGCTCAGTACTCTGGTGCTGTGATTTTCCACCAGCATATTGTATACACCACTTTGTCAGCTGCCAAGTTACAAGCAGCAAAAATAGGGAACTTTCTCTGCATTATTCTCTTCTGAGTGTGAGCTACCCACCAAACTTTCTGCTTCCCTTCATTTTCCAGTGTCTTCAAGTAGCTGTTTTTCATATTATGTTCATATTTTACAGCCATTATTTGTGGAGGGGTCATTCCCACAGCATCTTAACTCAGCCATTATTAGAAGTCCCTGGGTGTAATTTAGAAGGTTTCTCTGTTTCCTCCATATTTCCCTCTATTTCTTGAGTTCATCCATCATAGTTTAAACTCCTTGTCCACTTTCTCCAATATTTGGCTCACCTGTTTCTATTTTCTGCTTTCACTCTGATTGTAAGTAATGTGATCCTCTCTTGTTAGTGATTTTTTAGATCCAGACATTGTGTATAAAAATTTACAGTGTCTCTAGATGTTTTTCTTCCACTCTTTCCTCTGCTAAACAGAATGGGGGCCGATCACCCTAATCCACTCAGGGACTGTACGGTTTAAGGCTGCACTGTGATTTTGACAAGCCTCTGTCTGCCTGTTCCATCTTGTTCCTAGTAAGGAGTCCTCCCAAGCTTTCAACTGAAAACCCGGTGTGTTCACCAGTCCCCTCCCCAGGTGGGTCCTGAGTTCTCATCATCAGCACCATAAGCCTGCCCAAAAACCTAGTCTCCTTGTCGGAGGTTTGAGGTTTAGCTTTCTATAGCCTCTTGCCCTACACAGCTTCTGAAATTTGGTAACTATTTTGAGGAGAAAACGTATTATGTTTTTAAGACTCCTCCAGTCCCCAACTTGGTCCTCCAGTGTTGTGGACCACTGAGCTCACCTGGCTTCTCTGGTCCCCACCTACAGCCCTCTCCCTGGTTAAATGCCTGGATTCTTAGCCTCTTGCTCAAACCCAGAATCAACAAATGTTCCCAGGGGAAAATCTGCAAGTTGTCAGCTCACGTTTTCTATGATTCTAGAATCATAAGAATTTGGGGCCCTTCAATCCTCTTTCCTTCAGCAATTTCCTCAAGCCTTTTAAAAAGACAATTTTTATATTTTATCTAGTTTTTCTGGTTCCTGACTGAAGCACTAGTCAGCCAGAAGCAATTCCAACCTACTAAAAGTCTCTAAGCACTTTTAAAGTGTTTATTTTCTTCCACTGGTCTCTGAAAACTGTCCCCGAAGAGTCAATTTACATTACATCTTAAAAACATATTCCAATTGCTAAATGAAAAAGAAAAAAGCAAACTATTTTATGGCATATTCCTCATAATCACAACTGTGTATAAAATATACATACTGTCACAGATTTGAAATAAATGACTGGGGTAGGATATGGCAATTTTTTCTTTTGTAAAAATATTTCTGGAGACTTGGATGGTGGGCGAGCCCCTGCCCCACACTCAGGACCCCGGTGGGCCCAGAGGAGGGCCAGCACTGGCTGCACGCCCAGGGACTGCAGTGGTGGCCACCGTGGCACAAGGCAGAGCCCTGCAGGTGCCTGTGCCCCTTTCCCGGGGCACCTCCTGGGCTGGCGCCAGGGTGGGCCTGGTGCTCTGCATGCTGCCAGCCCTGGGGCTGTGGAGCCAGCAGGGTGGCTTCTGCAACGGCGATGAAAAAAAAACTTCCCGAAATGTTCTATCATCCATAAGAAGTCTATTAAGTACATGTAGATTGTCAAGGAGGGGAGGGGGAAGGAACTCAGTGGCTGAGATGTAGCAGTGGGAAGACTAACAGCATAAACCTTTTCATAACTTGAATTTTGTATCATGTGAATGAATTAATTACTAACGGAAACACACACACACATACACAAACACACAGACAACCCCCCTCCCAGAGACTCCTAGGGCCACAAAGTGCCATTTATACTGAGAGTGAGGAAACAGGCATTTGGTTGTACTCACTAGCTGCAAAGGCTACAGAGAACAATCTGGCCTTGATTCACTTTGGGGCATAGAAAACTGCCTCTTTCAGGGTTTGTGATGAGCAAAGGGGACTATAATATTTCTTTAAGAGCTTTTATGAAAAGATTCAAAATTGGGCTGTTGTCATTTTCCTTTTTAGAGACGAAAGTATGGTAAGTATAGACAGTAGCTTGTTAGACTTTTTGGATCACTTCTTCTGATTACAGGATACGGGATCTTAGGTATTTTCTTTGAACACTATACCTTTTCTTTTAAAATAGCTGATAAAATATTGTCAGCACAGTTGATTACAGTCTCTCTTTCCCCAGAACTTCATTCTAGGCTTCTAAACCAGGGGTCAGCATACCACGGCCGGGGGGCAAATCCAGCCTGTTTTGTAGTGCCCTCAAGTTAAGATTAGATTTACATTTTTACATGGTTGAAAAAAAAATCAAAAGAAAAAAATAATCTGTGACACAGTTCATCCATTTACCTATTATCTCTGGCTGCTCTCCTGCTACAATGCTGGGGTTGAGCAACTGCGACAGACCACATGACCTTCAAAATCTAAAATACTGACTACTCGGCCTTTCACAGAAAAAGTTTGCCAACCCCGGGGGCTAAAGTGTCTCAGAATAATGAGTTTCACAGAGCAGCTTTCTGGTGGGCTAGCCTGGCTGAATTAGCGGCCCTCCCTGTACCCATGTCTTTTACCAGGAAACTTGGTGGTGCTTTCCAGCTCTGACACTGGGCTCAGTCACGCGAGCGCTTTGGCCAATGGGAGTCTAAGAGACACAAGACAAGACATGGGATTGCACCCCAGGGCGAGTTCTCCTGCTCCTTGGCTACCCACTGCTGTAAACAGACCCAGGCTAGTCTGCTGGAGGGTAAGTCATGTGAAGCAGAGCCGGCTGCCCGGTCATTCCAGCTGAGGCCAGCCTAGGTTAGCCAAGAGTCAAGGATCTCACGATCATTGCAGCTGCCTGGCTGACCCACAGCTGACCACAAACACATGAGCAAGCCCAGCAAAAATTACCCAAACCCAGCCAGATCAGCTGAACCCCAAGACTCAAGAGCCACGGAACTGTTTATTGTTATTTGCATTGAAGTCTGGTGGTGGGTTTGTTACGCAACATTATCCTGGCAAACGAAAACTGACACTATGGGCACATGAATTTTAAAAATGTCTTTTGCCAAAATAGGCTAGGGAAGATTTTTACTCTTCTGAGGACAATTTAGGGCTCCAATGGGGGGAGGCGGGGAGAGACTGAATAAAACACAGACATCTGGAACTCCAGGGATGGAGGTGGGCATTAGATTACATCTTGAATTTCTGCAGAAGTATCTTGCACTCACAATGGGACTCAATAAATATTTAAATAAATAAATATGTGCTCTGTGGTTCAATCTGCCCACTGGATCAAGTAGATGCCGACGCTAGGGCTTGGCGTGCCACTTAACCACGAAGACATCTAGCGAGGCAGAGACTCTATCACTTATGGAAAAGAATTTATTTCCTATTTATAAAATGTAAAAAAAAAAAGTCCCATGGGTATAAAATCTAAATCTCTGAGGTGTGATGGTCAGGACCACAGGGGCTGGGAGCTCCTTCTGTACCAGGCTCAGTGAAAAGCTTCCCAAGGGTAAAGCCACAGAGCCCTCTGTGCGGAAGACGGGTGGAGGCAGGAAAGAAAAGGGGGCAGAGCTGCGGGAGGAGCCCAGGAAGGGATCACGCACTGCAGTCTGTACTGGGAACACTTTAATTTGCTAGAGGGAGGATCTTCTTTCTCAACTGGCCTGAGCCTGTACTAGGAATGTGAAGTTCCTTCCTAGTGCATGGGGCCAACCACCCCCTCTGCAGAGCCACAATGTGGCTTCTGGAAGGAAGGAAAGGCATCCACTAGTGTGACAAGAAGCGATCACCTTCGGACTTGCATGAACTCCTTGCGCAGCCACAGAGAGTCTTGGTAGAAGCGAGGATCGCCCAGTCTCACGGCTGTCCGCTTGTAGAAGTAACAGTATAATACCGCCGCTGTGGACAATAAGCAGGAAAGAAGCCTCAGGCATGCTCCTGAGTGTTTGTTTCAGGGTGAGAACATCACTGGATGAGGCTAAGGGGCCCTGCCTTGTGATTTCCTAGTAACTCCCAGAGAAGGCAGAGGGCAGTGGCCTCTCCTGCTCTTGGCGTGGCTGTGCAACTCATCCCATGCTGGTGGGACGGCCAGGATCAAGACCCTTGCTGCCAGAGCCATAGGTGGGACCAAACTGAGGCCTGGGGTTGCTCTGGTCCTTACCTAGTCTCTGGAATACAAATAACGTTTGAAGTCCATCTGTCCAGACAAAGCGGTTGGAGTTTTTCCAGCGTAAGTTCTGAGGGAGATGAGGAGACACAGAAGGGTTAATGGCCAGATGGGGCCCTCACATCTCCAACTTGGTTAGCTGCAGAGATGCCGCTTGGTTTAATATCAGGCTAATCTCACCCCCACTTCTTTCCACAAGCGCAAGGACTGCTTCTCAAAGGAGGCTCACGTTCCCTTTTAACCCTGAGGAGGAAGTCTGAACTAAGCCGTTTATTCCCTTTCACTCTGTAGCCTTTGCCTAGGAAAAAGGATACACATCCTCTCAGGGGTTCAGCAGGTCACTGTCTTGCCTTGAAAACCTCAGGCTCAGCTCCTGTCAGATAAAGGCTTGGTGTGTTCAGGGTTTAATCAGATTAACAGCTTCACAGCACAAAGCCGGGACCTATTTTGGCTCCAGCGACCAGCGCAGAGACAATCCTCTTCGGGAAGCACACTGGGCACTGCTCTGCTCATTTCCTGTGAGCTCTACTTCTCCTCGTGGACTCACAAGGGCAACTTAATAGGACATTTAGTCTGAGAAGGTGGCTTTAGTAAAGCAATGACTAGGGACCCCTGAAGTTTTAATGTGTTCCCTCAAAATGAGTACATGAGAAACACACGAAATCCCCAAAGAGATGGAAGAAATCTGAAACCATGAAAAGTGGATCTGCTTTGAGGCCTATGTTAGAACCAAAGGGAGGCATTCTGGGGGTTGGTTCTTCCAGGGTATGTGATGGGGATGCACCTGAGGGCACGAAGCACTAAAGGGTGAGCAGCACTCCTGCTTGGCTAGTTCCCACGGGACATAGATGCCTAAGAATACCCTGTAGCAACACTTACCTGCCCAAACAGTCAATGATGAAACGGATTCAACTTCCTGTTTTAGCCCTGGGAGCCCTGTTTGGGGTAAAAGTGAACTGAATGTTCCAGATGTGTCCCTGGACTCTTGGATAAGGCCGTACTTCAACATATAAGGTTGGGCAAAAGTGCCTTATGAAATTCTCACGTGCCTAGTTCCAGGATGGACCACATTCACTTCACCCATTTCTTATCAAGATTCTGTGAGATGTGAAAGAATGATGCGGGGTTCCCAGAGGAGAGATAGTCCTAGCCCTTTAAGGATTCAGGAATTCAGAGCTTGACTCTTACCATGACCCAGACATGAAGGGAGATGCTGAGTGCGAAGTACACTGCTGTCAGGGTGATGGTCCCTTTGAACTTATGGAAGAGAAGGTTGACCAGGCCAGCCTGGAAGACGAAGGTGTTGAAGAACATGAGGAAAATGATGATGATGTTGAAGAGGATTGCAATATCCTGGATGCTGCAGACACAGAAAACAAAGGACAGCCACATGGAGGCCTGGGGAGGACCCAAGAGCCAGACACCTGAGGTCTGTCCTTACCTGTGATACAGTCCCCTAAAACCGCCAGAGGGAGCGTGGGCTTTGGGCTCCAAATGACATGAAGCTAAAACTACCCGCAGGCCCCATCAGTTGAGTTGCGTCTACAAAGCTTTCCTGCTGACACTCTCAATTCAAGAAAGCGCCGAGGCACCCGTGAGAAGAAGCTAGTTTCCTGTCTGTCACATAACCTGGCCCCGCCAGACGTCTTCCTCTAGCAAGAAAGCAGTGCACTCTCCCTGCTCTGTGCAGGGCTGGTGCCTTAGTGCCATTCCCGTCTCAGGTCAAACGTCCCCTCTTCAGAAAGACTTCTGTTTCAACCCTCTCCCTAAAGTGACCCTCCCTTCCCCAGCCCAGATCCTTTATAGCCATTGTATGATATTTATTTCTATTTGAAATTATCTTTTTTATCTTTTTGTAACGTATTCATTGTCTCTCTCTACTAGAATGGAAACCTCATCAGAGCAGGAACTTGTCAGGTTTACCACTGCAACTAGAATACTGGCCAGCTGGCCAATGAACACTTGGTGAGTGAAGGAAGATGGAGGCAGAGCTAGGATTCAGATCTAAGCAGCCTGTTTTCTGTTTAGAACTTGTCTCGTGGAGACTATAAATCATTGTTGGGGGGAAATGCCAATAGCTTCCATCCTATGGGATTCACATATATTAATAATACGATTATCCTTTTTACCTGCCATTTTGTAATCCTCTTTCACGGCAAGATAAGATAGTATTTCTACTTGCAGGTGGAGAAAACGGCAGGGTCAGCAGTCTGACCCTCATTTTCTATGTGCACAGCTCCCCGAGTCCCAAACTCTTATTCGAATTCTATAAAAACAGGCCCTGTGACACATCTATGGACCACGGAATACCCAGGACACTGCAATTCTATTCTCCCTGACGTTTCTCTCTTAATAACTTTAAAAGGCTAAATCACGATTGTCAGGGTCTTCAAACTGCTTGGGTTGAGCTGTCCAGTCCCAGACACTGAACTCACATGAAAAGTACCAGCTGTATGACGGGAGCCATGCGGAGCAGCTCCGAGAAGGAATTGACAAAGAGATCATAGGACAGCAGCAGGAACTGCAGGGAGAGCACCAAGCTATAGTTACTGGTCTGGAGCATCTTCCTTCGGCTTTCTTGGGTCCCCAAGGTAACATTCCACAGGTCCCCAGAAAGTAGCTCCTGGCACTCGTCCAGGCACTGAGGGAGAAGCTGTAGTTCCTGAGACTCAGAGCTGTCTCCCTTGCTTTAAGACAAGGGCCTGTTAAGACAAAAACAGAGGTTAGAAATTCATTCATATAATAAATATTTACTGAGGACCTACTATGTGCCAGGCACTGTTCTATATACTTGAGATACATCAGTGAACAAAACCAACAACAAAAAAACCCAATCAGTCCCTCTTTCCAGGGACCCTTCCCTCCAACCTTACTCCATGCCTGGAACGCTCTAAATGCAGAACTCTTTCTAACCACTTCTGAATCCAAAGGAATCATGGGATACTACAGTAACATGTAACAATACTAACTCTAATACTAATTGCAACAGTAAACATTTGTATATCACTTAGAATATATCAGGGACTATTCTCAGCCTAACATTGTTTAAATCTCCCCAAAATCCCATGAGGTAGAAGATACACTATTACTTTTCCCCATTTTACAGATAGGACAATTGAGGTCCAGGAAGGTAAAATAATTTGTCCAAGGTCACAGCACTAGTAATTGGCAGAGCTAGGATTCAGACCCAGGCAGTCTAGGTCCAGAGTCTGTGCTCTTAACTACTGCACAAAGTTACCTTTTACATAACCTGACAGACTTACACATATAACTAGGCAGGGAAAATGTTGCCACAGGAGAAGTGGGAAGTAGTATAGGCAGAAAAAGCTGAGAGGAAATAGTGCTCTCCTGCAAAACTTAAAATTTAAGGTTACAGTAGCAACACAATGGCACCAGGTAAGGGGAGATGGGCCTTTATTTTTATTTATTCCAAGACCCAGAAGCTGCTTTGGGGGCGTCCTGTGATCCCCTCCAGATGGATCAAACCTATAAACAAATTTCAATATGCTTTGAAGTGTTACAGAATGATTAAATTAGCATCTGCAAAATATCTTACAGTTTACGAACTCTTTTCATATTTCCTTATTTAATTCTACACCCATCTTGAAAAAGAGCCAATATTATGCTTAAAACCCCATTTTACACAGAGGCTCTGAGAGGTTAAAGAAACCTCGTTCACCTCACCTGGTGGAGAAGTCCCACCTTAGTGGATGTACGAATGTGGTTTTCTCTGAGCCGAGTCTCCTTATTCATCAGATAATATTGATAGCTCTTACCTACCTACTGGCAGGCACCATGATAAACTTGTCACCAAGATAATTTCCTTTAATCCTCGCAACTGCTCTGCAAGGTGGGAAAGAATTATCCTCATTCTACAGGTAAGGACACAGGGTCAGAGTTCAAGTCATTCCTCCAAGTCCGGTGGTAAGCAGAGCCAGGATTCACAACTGAGTGTGATACCAAAACCCGTTCCCTTAGCCACTACCTCACAGGGTACCAAACGGGGCTGTTGTGAGATTACATAGAACCGCCCACCGCCATCTCTGGAAGGATGACCGTCTCCTCGGGTCAGGGCAGCGGTGATTCGCAAGGTAACGAAGCGGTCATCTCAGTCTGTCCACCGCTATCTGCCGCGTTCCCTTTGTCCCCAGAGCAGTTTCCTCACCCTTCCCAATCCACTTTAAAATGGGGTTGCCTTAGCAAAAAACTAAAACCAAAACAACAGACAACAAAAATTTCGACTTCTGGATACTTTCCCCACTCCTCATCACTCTCACCTCAAAGGCCCAACGTCGGTTGTCATGGGGACACCGTCCCAGCTTCCGGAAACCGGTTTTAAATTCCGGAAGTAGATGGCGGACGCGGGTTCAGTCTGCGCCGCGCTATCCGCTTGTCCTCCGCTTTCTCTCCCCGCTCTATGGCCGACCAGGCCGCCATGTTTGGGCCACCGCTTTCCTGGGCCCACCATTCTCCCGGCCTTTCCAACGACGCCGCGCCCTGCTCCAGAGCTTCCAGCTGCCGACCAAGGCCTCCCGCTCACCTCGCGCGCGGCCTTGCCGAAAGCCAGCCCCTGGCGAAAGGCTTCGTGTTAGCCCGAATATTTCCGCTTCCATAGAATCGAGGGGCTGGGGGATGAGGGACAGGGCAGACCCGTGACGGTGCTCCTTGTCTCGGGAACCTCAGGCTTGGGAAAGAAGTGCCCGCGGAGGAACTGGAGTTGGGGTCAGCACCTTGGCGCACGGGGAGCAGGTGACACAACGGCTGTGGACTTCATTTCCCAGGCGGCCGTGCGCGCGACCGGAAGTACCGTGGGCCTATAAGATGACGGGGTAGTCCCGCCTGTCGGTTGTGAGGCAGCAGTGCCTGGTGGTGGCAGGCGTTCGTCCGAGTCTTTCACTCCATCTCCCAGGAGCCTCGGGAGCCGCGTTTCCGGCGCCGGGTGGCAAGAGGCGGGTTTTGGAGACCCCAGTCCCCTTGGGTCCCACTGTGGTTCCGGGGTGAGAAAGCCCGGGCTGGGATTTCAGGGACCTGGGTTCGAGTGCTGGCTCTGCTACTGCCTTTTTGCGCTGTCGCGACCTCTCGCTCGGCCTCAGTTTTCTCTTTTAGGAAATGGACACCGTTCTCCTTGCCCTCCCTTCCACAGGTGGTGACTGTAAAAAACGAAAGGTCTTCGGAAGCTGCAGTAAGCAGGCGGAGCCCCTCGCCTTAATTTTCACCCAAGGAAGGGCCCTTGGTCCCGGCGAAGGAGTCAGGGATCGATCCCTGGGTTCCTGGAGCGGTTCTTCGGACACTTGAGTCAGACCAGAGCACAGTCCTAAGGGCAGGTCTGTAGTCACTCTGGTGTCCTTGCTTATCTACCCCCTGACTGGAATTTAGGGCCTCTCACACCTGAGTCCCTGACTTTACAGAAGCTACGTTTGAAAGTGAGGAGCCCTTGGAGCTGAGGGGGAGTGAACCTGGAGTCTTGTACCAGCTCTGCCATTCACCGTGGCCAAATCACGTTCCTTCTTTGAGCCCTAACGTTTTTGATCTGTAAGATAAGAGTTTAGGACTTGAGTCCTACGTCTGGTTCTCAGAATTCCTAAAGCCCTAACCATTCATCTGGGAAGGGAGAGCAACAGACTAACTTTCTGTTCCTTTATCTGTTTGTAGTTCTAAGTAATTGTGAGAGTTTGGAATAGAGCCTTTTCCCAGAGGCTAGGGCTGAACTGGAAATACCCATGTCCGACCCCGGGGCCTGATAAGTTTTAGTGCAGCCTGGGAGAATCCTTTCTGCTAAAGAATTGAGTGTACTGGGTTGGAGAGTAGACTCCTTAGATCACGGTCAACAAATGTGACCCACAGGCCAAATCTGGCCCACCTAAATGGTTTTTACATTTTTAAGTGATTGAAAAAATGGAAAGAATATTTTGTGACATGTGGAAATGATACAAAAACTGAAATTTCAGTGTCCGTAAATAAAGTTTCTTGGAACACAGCCATCTTTGTTTGTGAAGGTATTGTTTATGACTGCTCCTGCAGTACATTAGCAGAGTTGATGATGTAGTTGTGACAAACTGTATGGCTTGTGAAGTCTAAAATATTTAACATTCTGGCACTTTACAGAAGTTTGCTGACTTCAGTCTTAGGCTGGGGCTCTACAGAGTGAGGGCAGAATAGGAGAACAAATCATGGTGAGCACATTCTGAAATCATAGCACTTTCTGCTCTCTTAGAACAAATGAGAGGGTATTCTTAGTGTTTGGATTGCAATTGTCACTGCATTCTTCCTTTTTCTCTCCTTTTGCTCTCTTATTTTGGACAGAGGGAGGGTTCTTCTGTGTACTTCGCACAGTAGAACATTCCAGCCGTCTGTCAGGAAAGTGTCCCCACTGTCTATTCCAAGTCTCTCCCAGAGCAGTAATCTAGGACCTCTTTTGGGAGAGGGGGGTGAAGTACAGTTTCTTGGATTATATTCACTTTTATTTTTTCCTTTACCAAAGGAAAAAAAGTGAAAGTAGATATTGTCCAAGTGGATGGCGCCTACTGATTGAGAACTCCTTTGTGCTGACATTTCACTGGGGCGGGGTTGGGGGGTGACTGAAAATCTTGTGACCTGAAATTTCCACTGCTCTTATGGGAACTAAAGAGGCAGCTCTGAGGTGGGGTAGTAAATCTTTGAACTCAGTAGCTGGGTCAGAGCTAAAAAGGAGGAGACATGATTTTCTCCCTCTGACCTCATGGAAGCTTATTTTTTCCCCTAGACCTCAGATCTTGCTTTCTCAGAAATTACTGCCAACTTGGATCACCGTGTGAGAGCTCAGCCTCTGTTTCTGGTTAGGGGGACACTGGGATGGAGAGAGCTGTCACAGCATGGAATTGGGACCACTGAGAGGCCTGGGCAGGCACAGGGAAGAGGCCATGAGCGTCAGGGTTTTGTTAGTAGTTAGGACGAGATCACATGACTACTGCAGTACATTACTAAGAACATTATAATACTTCACTCTCACAATGTCCTTACGTACATTTTCTCCCTTGACCTTCTGACAGCATGTGGTCAAGGGAAAAACATGAGCTTTGGAACCAAATAGACAAGAGTTTGAAATTCCTCACCCACTAACTGAGTCCAAATGTATTTAATCTTTCTGAGCCTTAGTTTCCTTCTCTATAAAATGGGGATAACTCCCCCCAGGGTTGGCAAGAGGAGTAAATGGGATCATATGTGATGGGATGGTGTGATGTCTGCTCAAAGCTGCCTTTCAGTAAATTCTATTGCCATGCCTTTCTTTCAGATGAGAAGTCTAAATCCTACAAATGTTATGTGATTTGCTGCAGGAGGCTCCGTGCTTAAGAATTGGAGTCCAGGTCATCACTCTCTCAGTCTACCACTAGGTGTAAAGGTGAGGAATCAAGTGTTTTATCTCCTTGGGAGTTCTTGGCTAGTTTAGGGGACTCTTCTCTCTGTTAGCTGGTTCAGATGGAGGGGTGTTGCTGCAGGAAGCCAGTGTGTCGCCTTCTTGGTGTGAGTCCGTGGGGCAGTGTGCCTGCCTTGAGAGCTGTGCCCAGGCTGAATGCAGGGGTGTCCTGTGGTTGCTGCCAACCTGCATGCTTTTCACCCCTGGCTTTTCAGAGCAGCTTCTTAATGGTCTAGGCATTCACCATGCCTGAAACCAGAGTTGGTTTCTGAGTTTACTTCAGAACTTTGGTCTCTGAGTTTATGTGGAAACCTCAAAATAAACTTGCTTTCTAGACCATGAGTTCTTGCTTCCTCTCTTCTGCTCTGGACTTTCCCCAGAGAAGAGAAAGCAGAAGTTTCAGACAGCTGAGGGCTTTTGCCCACTTCAAGGTGTGGAGGATGGGGACTCAAGAGAAGACCTATCTTATCCCCCAGGGTGAGGATTAGCCCCTGAGTCTGGGGAAGAACTTTGCTGTAGAAGTGGGACCCCGTTGCCCTTCCCCTGGCTAGCTTAATAGCAGTGTGAAGATCGTGATTTTTGCCTCCTTATGTTAGAACTGAGGGCTTGGGCATTTGTGTGATCTAGCCTGGATTTTGATTTCTGTCCTTTTTGCGGGGAAGGGTGGTAATTCTCTACCATCTGGTCCTGTGAGAGGACACTAATCCCAGGGCTATGGACCTAGAGCCTTGGCATCTGGCCACAGCAGAGGAGGCCTCTCTCCTGAGCTGGCTGCCCTGTACGCAGCCAGGTGCTGGGGTGGGGCCTCACTCATGGTTTATAACCAGAGATCAACTCCACCCAGCTTCATGGGGCAGTGCCCATGGCAGGGGAGCCACCCTTCTTGCCAAGAACAGGGTCAACGTTACCTCCTTTAGCCGGCGTGTGGGGCGCGCCTGAGCCAGCAGGGACGTGATTTCTGCTGCTTCTAGGAGTGCCTGATCAGAATGGCTGTGAGGTGGTTTTACCTGGCTGTCCTGGCACTGAGCTCCCTGGGCTTGATGTGCATCCTCTTCACCATCTACTGGATGCGGTACTGGCACGATGGCTTTGCCTGGGATGGCACCATGCTCATGTTCAACTGTCACCCGGTACTCATGGTTACTGGCATGGTGGTGCTCTACAGTGCTGGTGAGTACGAGGTCAGCAGAGGAGACGTGGTGTGGCCCAGGCCTGTACAGGGCAGAGCTCTCCCTCTCCAGGCCTGGCCTTTGTCACTGTTGGCTTCTGGGCTATGGGAGTGGGGTGGGGAGAGTTGTCTCTGGGCCTAGGTGTCATTTGGAGGAAGAAGTAGTGAGAACAGGAGCATCTGAAAAGGGCAGCTTCACAGATGCTCTTGGATGGGGGCTGGCAAACTTTTTCTGTTAAAGGCCAGCTAGTACATATTTTAGTCTTTGCAAGTCCTGTCGCAGCTACTCAACTCTGCTATTGTATTGTGAGAGTAGCCAGAGGCAACACGGAAACACACAAGTGGCTGTGTTCCAGTCAGCTCTATTTATGGTGGTGGGGGGAGGAGAGAAATAGGTGAGGGAGAGCAAGAGGTACAAACTTCCAGTTACAAAATAAATGAGTCACAGGTATGAAATGCACGGTGTGGGGAATCCAGTCAGTATTACATATTATCTTGGGATGGTGCCAGAAATAGACAGAAATGTACAGAAATATTGAATCACTATGTTCTGTAACAGAAAGTAACATAGTGTTGTAGGTTAATTATAATTCAAAAACAAACAAACTCAGTAAAAGAGATCAGACTTCTGGTTACCAGAGGTCAGGTGTGGGGGAAACTGGATAAGGGAGGTCAGAAGGTACAAACTTCCAGTCGTAGGATAAATCAGTACTAGGAATGTAATGTACAATAGGATAAATATAATAAACAATGCTGAATGTTATGTATGAAAATTGTTAGAGTAAATTCTAACAGTTCTCATCACAAAGAAGAAATTTTTTTTCTATTTCTTTAGTGTTTTATCTATGTGAGATGACAAGTGTTCACTAAACTTATTGTGGTCATCAATTCATGATGTATGTAAGTCAAGTCATTATGCTGTACACCTTAAATTTATTCAGTGCTGTATGTCAATTATGTCTCAATAAAACCAGAAAAAAATAAGTGAAATTTTAAAAAATTAATACGATTTAAAGTATTATTTAGTATCAAATACGATTTGATTGATAATAGCACCCATAAACATTAATAACCTAGGAATAAATCTAACAAAGCTGTATAAGATTTCTACAGAGAAAAATACAAAACGGTATTCAGAGGAATTAAAGAAGCTCTAAATAAATGGAGGGGTATTCCACTGTGTAAGTGGATTGGAAGACTAAACATCGTAAAGATGGAAGTTCTCCTGAAATTGTTTTGTACGTTGCTTTCAATCCCAGAGTCTCAGTGCTTATTTTTGTGAAAATTGACAATCATTTTAAATTATCTTGAAATGAAAAGGGCCAAGATTAGTCAAGCAGGTTTTGAAAAAGAGCAGAGTTGGAGGGCTTATTCTCCCATCTCTTCAGGTTTATTATAAAGTTCCTGTAACCAAGACAGTGTGGTATTAGTAAGTGAACAGACAGACAAGGTGGCACTGCAAAGCGGTGGGAAAAGATGTTCATTTCAATAAATGATGGTTGGGCATATGGAAAAAAGCCACTTTATTTACAAAAATAGGCAGGATTTGGCCTGTGAGCTGTAGTGCGCCAGCCCTTGCTCTAGACAGCAGGAGGTTGAAGCCTCTCATGGCATAACCAGGTCCTTACAGGAGGGATCTGTGTACTCCTGCCAGGCCCATCTTTGCTTGACGTGTTCAGAGCTGGGCCACAGGGCCCAGGTGAGTCTCATGTTCTCCACTTGTAAAAGGGGAATATGATGACATTGATAATAGCAGCCCACCTTGTGTACATCACATACATCAGCTCATTTTGTTCTCACAGGAAGCTTGTCAGGTGGGCTCTATTATTGTCTCCAGTTTACAGAAGAGGAAACTGAGGTTTAAGTAGAAGAAGCCAAATAGCTGAGAGGCAGAGCCAGGATGTGGACCTAGGTTTTAACCTTAAAGCCTGTGCCTTGACAGCTTTCCTCAGTTGTGAGAATTCACTTAGATGAAACAATGAATGTGACATTGCTTTTTGACCTGTAAAAGTTGCATTTATTGTTGTAATGACAGAATGGCATCCATGAGACCTGCTTCTCCCTTTTTTATCTGGTCCCTTCTCACCCCACTTCGTGGTTAATGGCTTTCCCAGAAATGATGCGGGGATGGAAGATGCTGAGGAGTGGATACTGATGTCCTAGCATTTCCTTCTTCCCTTGCTGGGAGGTTGAGATCACGTCAGGGTAATTCCCCTAACGTGTGGGTGAGTGAGTGGGAGAGGACGAACCCTGGGACTGCTCTCTCCTGCAGCGTCACTGGTGTACCGCCTGCCCCAGTCATGGGTAGGGCCCAAGCTACCCTGGAAAATCGGCCATGCAGCCATGCACCTGATGGCCTTCATCCTGACTGTGCTGGGGCTGTTTGCCGTCTTTAAGTTCCACAACCATAGCAAGATCCCCCATCTCTACTCTCTGCACAGCTGGCTGGGCATCACTGCCGTCTTCCTCTTCGCCTGCCAGGTGGGTTCTCTCTGTCCTCCTTTGGGTTCCCACTGCTGCTGGCAGCCATGGGCTCTGGTTGGGGCTTCACTTGCATCAGCACCAAATAGTCCCTCTGTTCACTGCCTGGCAGTAGCCTCGCAGGGCACATCCTGTAGAATCAGCAGTTTGAAGGCTATGGGAGATTGGTGGTTCCCGCGTTCACCTTGTTCCCGCTCTTACCCCTCACACTGCCCCTCTGTGGTCCCAGAGCACTCTGAGCTAAGTTTGTCGTAGCGCACACCACACTGACTCCGAATCATCACCTTCTCCACTCCCACCTCTCTCTGAACTAGAAGCAGTTCTAGATGTAGTGTTCTCATTTTGATGTCCGCTCTGTACAAGTAAGGAGTTTTGTGAGCCAGACAGGAAGGAAGCAGGGACAAACAAGGATGGCTGGGTTTGCAGGAGAGTTGGGTAGCTAAGCATTCCATGTAGGTAACATTCTTGTTTGTGTAAGAGAAACAGATCACAGTGAGGCAGTGAGGTGTGGTGCTGGCGCAATGCCTGGTGGGAAGTTTAAGCTGGGAAAGGGGTGAAGGGTCACTGACGGGTGGGGGACGCTGGTGGGGTGGATGCCCTGGCGCACCTTTGGTCACAGTACAATCGGGTACTTCTTGTGTCCACAGTGGCTCTTGGGCTTTGTGGTCTTCCTGCTGCCCTGGGCGTCCTTGCAGCTGCGCAGCCTCCTTAAACCCTTCCACGTCTTCTTTGGAGCCTCCATTCTCTCTCTGGCCATTGCGTCTGTTGTTTCCGGCATTAATGAGAAGCTTTTCTTCAGCTTGTGAGTGGAATGGGGCCCCCAGCTCTTAAGGTGGAGGGGAAAGAACAGAGTCCTCAAAAAATGCACTTTATAATCATAGGACTCATCCAAGGGAGGGGAGCCTTGGGATCGGGCTCCTTCCTGATCTGGAAGGTGATGGAGTCAGTCTTTCTTTAGGTTGAGATTAGTAAATTGGTCAGCAAATACTTATCCAGCATCAAATTGATTTAGAACCTAGTATGTGGCAGAAACTATTCTAAGCACCTTAAATTTAATCCTCTAAACACCCTACACATTGATAATGTGACTGCCACTGATAAATTAGGGGACAGAGGGACAGAGAGGTTAAGTAAATTCCTTAAGGGCACACAGCCAGTAAAGGGCAGAGCTTTGAGTTAGAACTAGAGCCTGCATGCCTAACCATTACCCTTCTCCATTTTTTGAGACAGTTAGGGCACAGTGAAAAGCAAACAAGATTTGAGGTCAGACCTGGGTTTGGATCTTTGCTGTGCCATTTTGTAGTTATGTAACTCTGGACGAGTTCATTTCACCCCTGGGAGCTTCAGCTTCCTTAGGTACAGAGCATCCTGTAGACACTGTTTTGGCAGAGCCTTAGAGGATATGTTAACATTCCAGGACACAGGGGCCCCTGGGAAGCTTTTGTCATCCTCTGTTAGTGCACTGAGTCTCCCACTGGGCAAAAACAGGTGGAAAAGTTTCTTAAGGGCCCACACTGTTTTGTCATCTTCAGGAAAAATGGCACCAGCTTGTACTCCAACTTGCCCGGTGAGGCTGACTTTGCCAACAGCACTGGGATGCTGGTGGTGGTCTTCGGGCTGCTGGTGCTCTATATCCTACTGGCCTCGCCTTGGAAACGCCCAGAGCTGGGGATGCAGGCCGAAAGACAGGTATGGGGTCTTGATCTCCCATTCCAGGTTGGAGTAGAGCCGAGTCTAGAGAAGGGTCACCCAGTTAAGGCTTGGGCCTCGCCGGGGAGGCCAACCCAGTAAAATGGGGGGAAACCAAGTAGCTGGAAGGTGGGGTTAAGTTGGCTGATGGGGAGCACCAGTAGCAAACCAGCACCTCCCAGCCATCACAGGAGGTGCAGCTGCTCAGGCTCGGGAGCCCCTGGAGGCCTGTCCATTGGGAGAGGACAGGGTTACTCCCCTCCCCAAACTGCTGTGGTCTCATGAGGGGAAGTGTGGTCCCAAAGAAGAGCTCGAGCATGATGAGGGCGTGTCGTAATTTCTACTTTTCCAGCTCTGGGGCTTATCTAGTAGGTGCCTGGTGACAAGCTGAGTGCCTGGGGCAGATTTTGTCTGTTCGAGGTGCTCAGGCACCTAAGGGACATGGTGAAATGGGGTGTGGTGTGCATTGGTGGAGGGACTTTGGGCCTCCCTGAAAGATGTGGCAGTGTGGGCTGGGACTGACCCTGCAGGTTGGGGGTCTGTCTGAGCAGCTCAGGGCTGGCATATCTCCTGCAGGTCAGGGGCCATTTTGATGTTAAGCCACTAACCAGTGTTTCATCTGCCTGTCTTCCTAGGCCCTGTTGCGTGGTGGGGAGTGACACAGGAAGGGGTTCCTGGGAGCAGTTGGTGATGTGGTCCTGACTCCTTCAGAAGCTCTGCTCTCCCTGGGGCTCCTGTCCGGTTTCAGCAACAGACTTGCTTTGGGGTCCGGGCCCCACGCTCCCCTGGCCTCTGTTGGGCCTGCTCTCTCCACAGCTTGCTGCCCACCTGCGTTCCTTGGTGGCTTTGGCTTCTCCGCCCTTCTTGGCATTGACTTCCCAGGCTCTCCTTGCCCTGGCTGCTCACGCTGCTCCTGCTCGTATGAAGTCAAGCCGATTTCCCCTTCGGGCCCCTCGGATGTGGTAGAAAACCCCGACGGCACAGACGAGCTGGGCCTCCGGCACAGTCCACACTGTGAGACGTGAGGGAGGCGGCCCTCCCGCCAGCCTTCCCTTGAGGCCTGCGTTTCGTGTGAGCCGCCCGCCCTGGGCCAGGCTTCACCTGCCGTTTCTCCATCCAGCCCATCCGGACATGAGGCTGGGCGAGAACACGGCGCAGCGATGGGAGGACCGGGATGGCGCAGAGCCACTCCCGCAGAGGCGAAGCTGAGGAGCCGGCTGCTCTCTGCTATTTCACGTTGTTGCCGTGTCGTGTCTGCATGCATTATCCGTGCTCTATGGTGCCGCCTCTTATAGCTGCTGCTGCAACTGGGACCTGGACCCCAGCCTTTCCCTGTGACGGACATGCCTGTCACTGAGAGGCAGCCCTGTGAACCCAGGAACAGCCTGCCCTGAGCTGTCCCACGAGGAGTAGCAGGGGTGCCTTGGACCTCCTTTCCTTCCCCTGCCTGTGCCCTGGCAGGTTCCACCTTGCTCTCTTGGCAGGGCCCTCACCCAGCTCCTTCACTCTCCGGCTCAGCATGAAACGTGCCAGAGCTGTGGTGTGTTGCGCCCAGTGGAGCCCTGGGAGCCACGGCCACCTCCAGAGGTGTTCCTTGCTGAGTGTCAAAGTGCTTCAACTTGCCCCTACAATGGCCACTCGCCTGGCCAGACCCAGTCTCAGATGTTAAGCCAGAGTGTGAGCCGTTGCTCTTCTCCCTGACAAGCTGGGGTGGCAGGTCTTGCTCCTCTCCTCAGTGTTGGCACTGTGCCTCTTCCTGCCTTCCAAACACGCCCTGCTGGGTCCCAGGCTCCATCCTGCTGTGCTTAGGTGACAAGCAGCATGACACATGGGTCCCGAATGGGCTTACTCCCTGGCAGGTGGCCACGAGGCTGTCTATCCCACCCCACCCCATATGGCCAGATGTTGGCAGGAGGCTATGACTGAACTTCTGGAGTGGCTGAAACCCTCAAAAACCATTGGGATGACTGCCAGGCACCATGGCCCTGGGACCAGCTCCCCCTCTTTCCATACGGGTAGGCATTTCACTTATGAAGCTTAATTTTCATTAAATGTGTTTTTAAGAACCAAAGTCTTTGCTGAAGTGACACTGGTTAAATGAACTCTGGGGCAACCTGCATAAGCCTCAGGATAGTTCTGACCCTTAGACCTGGGAAGGGCAAACCAGAAAGCCCCCAAAATCCATAGGGTTGTCTTCCTGGAATTGCATGTGACTCTTAGTATGTGTGGGTGTCCTGAACAGTGAATGGCTCTTGAGCACTTGGTTATCTTATGGGGAAGGAAATGTTTCCTATTTTATAATCTGGAACACAACTCAAAAAGATTAGTGACTTGCCAAAGGTCACCCAACCAGGAAGTGGCAGAGTTGGGATCCACAGGCCAGGTGTCTGATGTCAGCGTTTCCTTCCTAGCTGCTGGTTGTGTGCATCTGGGCACACGGCTAACCATGTCTTGTGGTTAGGGACTCGTGGTGTGGGTGACAGACAAGGACCCGGGCAGAGAAAGAGAAGTCCAGGGGTTGAAGCCTGCAGCCAAGTTTGGGCAGAATAAGTGATGGCCCCCTTCCCAATGTGACCTGCTGTAGACGCCACCTGGTGGTGGAGCAGATGACCTGGAAGGAGCTGGACGCAGACACCAGCAATCACAGTAACTCCCAGTGAGGAAGCACCTAGACTGTGCCGGGGACTTTGTCAGTTCATTTGACTCCTTTCTGCATCCACATGAGATGGGCACCATTCTGAATTTATAGATTCTAAAAGGCTAAATAATAAGCCTGAGTTTTCGTAGCTAGTTTGAAGCAGAAAGAGGATTAAAAGTCACAGCTGTGTCTGAAGTGAGTCCATGTTGGTGCCTCTAACTGCTCCCTAGCACCAGGTTTGAGCCAGGCGTGCACTGCGCCGTCTCCACCGTGTACCCCGCAGACTCAGCAGCCCCTCCCGGCCTCCCGGGGGCCATCGGTGATTGCTCTAGAGGCCCGGGCTGGCCTGGGCGCAGTTTCTGTTCTACCACCGAGCCTTAGAATGTGCTGATTTCTTTTCCTTCTGGTGACCCACCTGCCCATTTGATTCCTAAAGAATCAGTATGTTCCGTTTAGTGCTGAGAAAAGCACGCCATCAGGTGTGGGGTGTGTATTGGAAGGACAGGAAGGGGGATCCCAGTGGAGTCGGCCCAGCTGCACAGACCCTGCCTTTGGGTTTCAGGTGGTGGGAGGTGGGAGATGATCATTTCAGCCAGGGGCACGGGTCTTAGTCCCTGGGGCATTAGTGCACCCACTTGTTCACACGCTTGGCTAAAGGTCCCTCAGAGGCAGCAGCAGCTCTTCTGCTTCAGTGTGGTTTATTAGCTTCCTTTTTCACACCGGCTGAGTTCAGGTGCAGAAGGCCTCTCACAGGGAGTCTTGGTATGCGTGGATGTCCTTAACAGTTCTAGGCTGGGCTGCCACCCAGGGGAGGGGAGAGCCTCCTCACAGAAGCCCAGAGTTGGCTGGGGACAGAGCCGAGTGACAGTAGGACTTAACCCTCCCTGAAGAGGGAGAGGGCAGCGACCCACTCTGGGCCTGCAGTTTCTACAATGGAGTAATTCTGGAAGCTTCAGAGGGAAGGCCCTGAGGGCGAGAGGTGGGGGAGGGTGACTAAGAAGCCAGAAATCAGTGACAGTGGTTGCTGAGCACAGCAGTGAGAGGCCCTGAGGCCCTGGGAGGCATTCATGCACCCTGGCCCTGCAGGGCTTCCAGGACAGCTCGAAGAATGGCAGCAGCTGCCACCGCCCCGGGGTCTGGCTGGTCTAGCCGCGCGGAGCTGATGTAGCTGGCTCTTCCAGCTCCAGCTTCCATGTTCCTGGTGGCTTCCGCTGCAGCTTCTGCACTCTGAGGGGTGGGGTGTGGGAGCAGGTTAAAGAAGAGGGTACCAGGCTTCCTTCCCACCATGGACCCCAGACCCTCCTGTCCCACTCTGCCAGGACCCTCTGCACTGTCACCAGGGTGGAAGAGGTCACCTCCCGCCCACTTCTAGCAGGGCAAGGGGCCACCATTTACTGAAGGCCTGCTGTGTCCCAGACCCTGTGCTGGGGCTCTGTCTCCTCAGCCCCATAGCAGCCCTCAGACACAGGTACTGCCCTCCATCTTTAGAGGAGGAACCTGCGGTACAGGAAGGATGTTAACTTGGAGATGGGAGCCTAGTGGCTCCAGGTCTGTATCCCTGGCTGGCTGGGCCCAGCCTCACTCACCTTGACTGCCTTGGTCAGGATTTGGAACAGATTAGCCCCTGGGCTCTTCCAGGCTTGAAGCTCCTGTCCTGCTGCCCACAGAGAATCCAGCTGGACAAGGTGAGGGAGATAGGGGCTGATAACAGGCCCTGCCACGGAGGGTGGCCTTCAGGGCTTCTATGCTCAAAAGGGGGAAGGGCTGGGCCAAATACACACCATAGTCCTGTCCCCAGGGGCAGCCTTTCCATACCTGGCAGGGAAGAGAACAGACAAGGCTCACTGCAGGGAATCACTTGGGGGGTCGGGGAGGGCCTGGCTGGGAGCAGGGGACCTCAACCCCCTCCCCAAGCCCACCCCTGGTCTAAGGCACAGGGCTCTGGCTCACTTCTGCATGGCCTCCAGGCCAGCGTCCATGGCTGCAGACCAGGCTGGGAGATCAGTCTTGGCCTTGAGTGGCTGAGCTGCCGCAGTCAGGAACAGGCCATAGAGCTGAGGAGGACCAGAGTGTTGAGCACATGGGGTTGGCCTGGGCCTCCACCAACCCGGGGCCCCTCCGTGTCAGCCATCCACCCCCAGGGGTCTGCCAGCACTCACTGCCCCAGAGGAACCTCCCATCTTCTCTAGTAGCAGGAGGGACAATTTGGAGAGTAGCTGGGTGGGACTGGCAGGGGGTGGGCCCTCCTTCAGCCAGCCCTGAATTGCTGCAGGCAGAGATGGCGAGGTATTCAGAGACCCTCCCTCCCATCTGCCTGCACCCCAACCAAGAACCCAGGCCTCCCTGCCAGGCAGAAGGAATGGGCACTGGGAGAGGCTGAGGGAACCAGCATGAAGACATTCCCATGGCTCCCTTTCTATGTCCTGCGTCCAGTCTGGAGAGGGGTGGGAAACGGTCACTGACTGGGACCTTGGTGGTCACCACCAGGTGAAGCCTCCTTGTTTCTCTGCTTCATTTTTTCATCTTTTACTGATTTACCTTGATGGTTTGTCTCTCCTACAGGAACATAAGCCATGAGGGCAGTGATTTTAATCTGCTCTGCTCACTATTGTATCCATGGAGTCAAGGCAGCACTTGACCCGTGGTCAGTACTCAATAAATTTTTCTTGACTGAATGATGCTGGATAATTAAGAGCTTTTCCCTAGTCTGGGTAAGCTGAGAAAAACAAGAACAACAGAATGAGCTTCCCTTGAATCTACGTTATTATTCACTGTAAAAGATTACATTTTACTCTGCGATAACAACCTTCCTACATTTGTAGTGTTAGGACGATCTTTTTTTTTATGAAAATAGGTGAAGAAGTGCTAGGTTTTGAGAACAAACTCTCTTGGCAAAATAAAAGTTGCCAACCCCATGTAAGCACCCTAGATGTTTTTGCAATTGCTTTGGTTCATAAAAAAATCTCGGGATCAACAAGCCATACCATACCCTCTCCCGCCCCAGGCAGGCCCTGGCACTAACCTCTGGCAGCGCGGCTGTGGGTGGTGCCACAGTCCCCATCGCCAGCAGCTCGGTCCAGGGCGTTCAGATGCTCCTCCAGGCCCAGGAGGGTGGTGCACACCCGCTCGAGCACAAGCACCATCTGCTTTGAGTCTGTGCCTGGAGAACGAGGACAGTGGGGAAGAGGCCTGCCTGGCCCTTCTCATAACCGAACTTGACCCGTGTGGGAGGCATGGGTGCCAGGGCCCCTGCACACCCCTCTGCACACCCTGAACCCTTTGGGCCTCAGGCCAAAGCCCTGGGCCACCCTCCCCAACAGCGCGGCTTGGTACCTCCTGTAGCAGTGGAGTCAGGGGCCTCCAGGGGCTCGGTGGGGGCGGCTCGGATCCGCGTCCGCCCAGTCACGGAGACCCTGGCCATGTTAGGCCAGGCTGATGCAGTGGTGTCAGCATCTAGGGACAGCAGGGTGACTCTCTTAGAGACAGGCTGGCTGGCCAGGGATCAGGTGGGGCTTGGACTCCAACCTGGTAGCCCAGTTCTCCTCATCTCAACAAGCAAGAACTGAGTGCCCACCGTGTACAAGGGAAGGGGGAGGGTCCCTGAGGGGATCCTAGTACCAACTCCTCCAGAATCAAGTCAGAGCTGGAGATGGTTGGGGACACCAGAAAGGGCCTCTCCACAGGGTCCTGATTGTCCTAGTCAGTCCTGATGGGGTCTCTCCAAGTTCCTTTTGGCTCCTTCCAGCTCCAGGGAACCCTAGCTTGGCTGACCCCAGCTTCTGGGTCTCACCTATCAGTTTCAGGAGGGGCTCATCCACCAGCAGAAGGGTGAGAGAAATGCCAGGCATCTCCAGGGCTGACATGAAGGTGCCCACCAGGGCACGAGCAATCTTCACCCCACGGCCCTCTGCAACACCACAGCACGGAAGTGTGTGAGGAAAGGAGGGACGGACGGGTACCTTCCCCCAGAGCATCAGAGAAAGAAACAGAATAAGAGAAAAATAAAGACTTTGGGAGCTGAGGCCCTGAGATTCAGTAGGGAGATGGTCAGATTTCCTCAGGACATCCCTCAATGATGCCCTGAATGACCACATTCCCTGGAGGTGTCCCATCTATTGGGGCAGATGAGTAATTACAAGTCTCACTTGACTGGGTTCTTACTAGGTCCCAGGTACCACGGTGTTTTATATATGTTTAATCTCATTTAATCCTCACAACAAGCCCATAAGGCAGGTACTGTTTTTATCCCCCTCCCTCCTTTATAGACATGGAAACAGGCTTAAGGCACCCTGCAAGTAGGTAGCAGAGTGACCATCTAACTCGGGCTTGACTGACTGCACAGCCCATGCCCTGGACCATCACAAGACCTTATCTCAGCTGCTTTTCTCATGTCCAGCTTCAAAGGGCAGGTAGGAATAAGCTCTGGGGGTCAGGAGGTCCCCTTCCAGAGTGGGGCTCACCCAGAGAGTGGACAGCAGCATCGGCTATGATGCCCAGTTCCAGGAATGACAGGCCACCCAGGTTGTTGACCATCAGCACCACGGAGGAGCCTGTGGACAGACACGGCAACAGGTGAGGCTCTCTGGGCCCCCTTCCCAGAGTAGGGGAAAGGCTGGGAGACAGACAGTGACAGCTCCTCACCGGACTGCACAGGTACGTGGGACACGTTGGAGGAGTTCGTCATGTGGTCGAGCATGATCGCCACGATCTTGTCGGCCGTCGCCATCTGTCAGACGGAGTGGAAGTAAGTGCGTCGGAGGCCTAGGTCTTTGGCCAGCCTGGGCCAGGGAGTCCACCTACCTTTATCCGGCGCACGCCAGCCTCCCCGTGGATCCCTGTAGGTAGACACTGTCATTACTGACCTGCTCACGGCCTGGGGACTCACTCAGCGTGTCCTGGTCAAGGATTTACTAAGTGCTTGGCACTAGACCAGGCACTGTGTACGTGGGGAGTCAGGGCGAACGGACAAAATAATGAAAGAAACACGGTCTCCGCTCCCTGGGAGCTATGGCTTGCTGGTGGAGACAGCTGGGACTTAACATTTAACTAGTCAAGTAGCTTTAACTAGAGGCAGTCACAGCCAGGCCACGTGACGCTTCTGCCCATCACTTTGGAAGCATGGGGGAGAAAGAGAGAAAGCTTTGCAGCTGGGCTGGCCTCTGAATGGCTTTTGAAAGAAGGGCTGCATCTTGGCAGGGGCAGGAGACCCAGGAATGGTGCAAGCAAAACCAAGGAGGAGGGCAGGGCCTTGTGTGGCCAGAGCCCTGGGTGTGGAGGGCAAAGCTGGCAGAAATCAGGCAGGTTGGGCCAGAAGGGCCTCACGTGCTCACTTAAAAATAATAAGAGCCCCCCAGGCAACGGCTCCACGTGAGCAGAGAGGACCAGGTAGTGGATCCAGGGCAGAAGATGTGGGCAAAACCCAGGAGGCAGGCATGGCGGGATGGGAGGCCACGAGCTTACCCAGACCCAGCTCCACCTCATCAGCTGAGAGCTCAAAGGTCGGTTTGGAACCAGGGACGCTGCAGGAGGCCAAGCTCACTCCCAGGGTTCCTGAGAGAAATGAGGTATGACGGGTGACCACTCTGCTCTTGGCGTCAGGCCGGGTGGCAGCAATGCCTCGGAAGCCTCTTCACTAAGACTGGCTGCCATCTCTTCATCTCAGGGATGCAAGAGAACCCGGTTCTGGGACCTGAGGTCACCAGGCCTCAGGAGCTCCCTCAGGGAGACCCTCCCACAGCTGCAGGGCAGTGACCTGGAAGGCCTCCTGTGCTGTTACGGAGAGCCTGCTCCTAGTCCAAGGTTGGCCACAACCTCCCCACCCTCTTCCCGATCCCCGGGCCAGCACTCACCCATGGCCTTGGCGACCACGCTCACCCGATTTGTGATCTCCTCCAGCCCCACACCTGCCTCAGCCAGGGCACCTGCCACCTGTGCCCACACAGAGATAGGCCCCCAGAGGGAAGGAGTCACTGTACCACGAGTGGGTAGAAGGCAGGCTGGGGCTGAGTTTCTAGTTGTGAACAGAGAATCTCTTAGTACCGCCACATCAACCTAGCCTGCCAGATTTAGGGCACCTGCCAGGGATCTTAAGGAATCCCAGAGCCAGAGGAACTTTACAAATGGAGAACCGGGCCCTGAGAGGGGAGGTGACTTGTCCAGTTGGTGGCTAGTTTCCCAGTTCCTAGAGTTCTTTCTCCATGGTATATACACTGTGGCTCACCCACCACCCACCCACTTTTGGCCAAGTATCTAGTACTTGCTAAAAAGGGAAAAAAATGGTGACGAAGTCATGGAGGAACTCAGTCTGGGGAGGGACTGGGGAAGCAGAAGTTTGTATGGACAAACTGAACATTTCACGTGAGATGGCACATCCGATGAGGGAGTTCATGAGAGGGTATTGTGGGAGGACTACGGAGGGGCTCCTAGCCAGCTCGGCGTGGTGGGAGGGAAAAACCTCCCAGAAGGAGAGACATCAGAGGTGGGCCTCCACAGAACAGTAGGAGTTAGCCAGGCCAAAGAGGGGTTGGACAGGGAGAGAATTTTCAAGGCCATTGATTCAGTAGCACCAAAGCCCCAAAGGTGACCCACAGCCCAGTGGTACAGAGAACTGGTGTCAATGGACCGTGAGGGGTTCGCAGGGATGATGGGAGAAGAACATGGGAAGTCAGGGAGGAGGGGCAAGTGAGTGGTGGGTGCCTGACCCAGGAGCCTGGGCTGACTCCAGGAACCCTGGAGGGCTTTCAGCAGGCGACCCACCTGGTCAGATACACATTTTTTAAAGACATCTCTGGGGTAGCGTAGCGAAGAGACTGGGGTGGGGGTGGGTACAGGAAGCAGGCAGGGGAGGCCGCTGAGGAGGCAGCCACATGGGCACCAGCAGACAGCACTGAAGCGAGACAGACAGGAAGGGCAGGGCTTGGAGGAAGATGTGTGTTTAAAAGGGGCAACGGTCAAGAGTTGGGAGGGAAGGGAAGGGTCTGGGAGAATGAATGTCTGTATCCTGGCTTAGGTAGCCATGGGGATGGTGGGCCTTCCTGGATCAGGGAGCACTGGGGAGGGAGTGCCTCCTTGGGGCATGGGCTGGCTGGAAAGCTCTAGGCACCAAGTGCTGCCTGGAGAGAGAGGGCTGGGACGGGTTGGCCAGTGTGTCCTGGTAGGGGACTCTCACCTTGTGTATGAGCACGGTGCCACAGAGCCCCCGCCTGCCTGCCTTCTTCAGAACGGTGAAGGCGCTGTCATCCCCAACGACCACCATCTCCACAGGGATGCCCTCCGCCCGGGCCTGCTCCCTGGCCAGGCCGAAGTTGAGCCGATCCCCAGTGTAGTTCTTCACGATGAGGAGGGTCCCCACTGCAGGAGCAGCCGGCGGGGCCCCATCAGTGCCTGCCGTCCCCACCACAGCCCCACCTGCACGCCAGGCTTACCTGTGCCCACCTGGGTCACTGCCCTGATGGCCGCCAGGATGCTGCCCACTGCCGGGGAGGTGAACACGGCTCCCGCAATGACCCCCGTCAGCATCCCCTTCCCTATGAAGCCTGAGAGATGGAGAGAGGTGGGCAGAGGAGGCCGGGTGGGGAGCTGTGCCTGCAGTCCCCGGGGCTTCCCACACTGCTGGGCTTTGTGGTTCGGTGAGCCCTACTGTGTGCCTGGTGCTACAAGAGCACCCGGGTCACTCTCCGCAGAGCTTTCATGTCCTCGGAGAGCCATTCCCTGGCCTCCCAAACAAAGCAGTCACTCACCCCACCTGCAGTGACTTGCTGCTCCTTTACCCTGCTCTCCTGTCCTCACTACCTCACTTACATGCTCTGGAATGATCTCTTTCACTTACGTGTTTACCTGGTTACTGTCTTCTCCCTGGAGAAGAATAGAAGCTCCATGAGGGCAGGTACCTTGTCTGTCTGGTTCACTGTTGCGCCTCTAGTGGCCAGAATAGTGCCAGGCACACAAGAGGTGCTTACTGATATTTGCTGAATGGATAGATGGATTTGCTAATGGGAGTCAGGAAAGATACAGAGGATACAAAGCCTGGTCTCTGTCCCTTAGGAGTGCTCAGGGAGAGCTCACATGCCTGGCACTGAACAATCCAGAAAACAATCCAGGACTGTCCATGTTGGATGTGAGAATGCAGAGTGGGAATTCAGAAGAGGGATACTGCTCTAGGCTGGAAAAGTCAGGAAGGCTTCACGGAGAAGGGCACGACAGGCAAGCTGGGCCTGGAAGGCCAGAAGGATTGATGGAATCACTGACTCTCAGAGTTGGAAGGACCTGAGAGATCATTTTGTCCAAAATTGTGCTTTTATAGGTGTAGACGCAGAGGCACAGAGAGAGGCTGTGACTGGCCCTAGATCATAGCCCAAGTGAGTGGGAGAGCTAGAGCTTGAACCGGGCTCCTGACTGTGGGCTGGGCTCTGTCCTGAACCTCTTAATAGCACTGAAGATCTGTCAGGACACCCTGTCCATTCTGCCTGGTGCCCACTGTCACTTCTGGCCCACGGTACTCACCGGCATGGGCAGGCTCATGGCCAGAGCCCCCGCCCGACAGAAGTGCCACCTGGCCCTTGAGACTGTCCAGGTCAGAGCGGAGGGCCACACGGTGGCCCTGCAGGAGCTGCAAGTTGGGGTTGCAGGCCACCAGGCCAGCAAGGGCGTCATCGGCACAGCCTGCCACCGAGTTCACCAGCTTCTTGGAAGTCTGTGGAAGAGGAGTGGGAGGTGGTTCCACATGTGGTAGGGACACCCCCATCCCGCCCAGTCGCATTGCTACGGCTAAGAACCCTATCCTACGCCCACCTGGGAGCTCCAGGGACACAGTGGTTCCTTGAGTTAGGGATCATTATATTAGGTGGATATTTCTGTGACTTCTAATTTGTGACTTATTCAATGACTAGTTCATGAAGTGTTTTGGACTATAGCTTATATTTTTCCTGAAAAATGGCTTCAATACAAAGAAAATGGGGGAACTGGAGTCCTGAATATAATTTAAAAAATAATAAAATTGGGGCCCAAGAGCTTTCTGTCAAAGGAGAAACCCCAGGCTGAGGCTCTTCTGCTAGGGGAGGGGGCCAGACAGGCCTCACACCCATCTGCTGTTCCGACTGGGCTATGATGCAGGGCAAACACTTCCTGAGCCTCATGATGTGCCAGGCCCAGTGCTAGACACTTCGTGTAAAGAGAGAACAGAACACTGGTCCTGCCTCCATGGAAACACAAAGACTTCCAAATGCTGTGGGAAGTGCTACCCAAGAGGAATGCGCGAGTGCCAGGGGGCACAGGGAGGGGGGACCCCAGCTTCCTTAATGGATCCTGGAAGGGTCCGTGAAGGGTAAGTAGGAGCTGGGTAGGTAAAAGGGAGTGAGAGGCATGGGGAGAGGGAAAGGGAGAGATTTCCAGGCAGAACGAGAGTAAACGCTGAGGTCTGGAGGTGTGAAACAGTATGGTGGCCAGGCCGGGAAGTGAGTTAGAAAGACTGGAGCAATCAGTCACATGATCACCAGGGAGCAATGGGCAGGGCCTCAAACCAAAGGAGGAACTTGGCCATGGGGAGCCTCAGGTGGGAGAGCTGTGGGCAGGCTGGCCTGAGAGTTACAGCTAGCTGACAAAGCTGGGGGTGGGGGGCAGCAGAGGGAAGCAGCGCAAGGGTTGGGGGTGGGAGGCTAGCTTGGGTTCTGCAGTCATGGGCACTTAGGCTCAAATTCCACATCCACCTCTCATTGGCTGTGAGAACTCAGTGAGGATACCTCACTGTTCTGAGCTTTAAGTATTCCTCTGCCAAATGCGGATTTAATAAATTAGAGTATATGCCTGTTATATACTAAAAATTGAATCAAAGGGAGCTACTCCCTACTTCAAGCAAGCTCTGAAAAGCCGAGACTAGCTGAACAAGGTTTGCAGGCAGTGTGCAGCTCCTGCCTTTACCCAAAGAGAGTGAAACTGGTGCCCAATAAGGTCCGCGAGGGCTGGGCTCCCAGTGCCGCCTGGTGGCCAAAGGCCGCCTGCAGCTGAGACTTCCCCAAGGCTCCTCTCTGAAGCCTGCCAGCACCCGGTTCCTTCCTGCAAACTTTGGCCTTTTCTGGGTCTGGCAGGGGCCAGAACAGTGACTGAGAGCCAGGTCTCATTCTCACTGCTTTTAAGCACATCTCATTCAATCTTCCAACAACCCTACGGAAGGAAACCAAGTCACAGTTAAATGACTTTGCCCAAGGTCACACAGTCAGCATGTGTCCAGGTCTAGCTAGCTCCAAAGCTGGTTCCATTTTGGCCTCATCATGCTGCTTTCCCTAGGGGCTGAAGGGAGACTGAGGTCTTGCCCCAGGAAAGGCACGGGATTGTGGCTCTCAGAAACTGCCAGGGGCTGTAATATGCAATGAATTTGTGAACTGGTCTCAATTCCAAGCAGTCTCCAGTGTCACCACCCTTCAAGAATGTGCCCCCTTGCCACCCTTGACAGTCTGTCCTGTTTGGGATTTGCAACCATTCCCAAACTAGAGCCAGAGGAGGGCTTGGGGACCAGGGCCACCTCTGTTTCCTTGTGGCCTGAGGGGATGGAAAAAGAAAGTAAAGTTGACTAGGTAACTATGTGAGGCCCCTAGGACTTTGATCTGATCAGCACCTCACTGCTTAATCTGCGTTATATTGCACATGAGGACAGAGGCTCAGAGAGGTCAAGTCTTTGGTAAAATGTCACACAGCTGGTTGGTGATAGGCTGAAATTTGAACCCAGGTCTGCCTGGGCACATGCTGAGCCTCCCACAGTATAAATCCCACTAGCCCACACATGCCCAAGGCTCAGGAAGAGGCACCAGGTTCTTCCTTATAACTCCTGTGACTGGTACTATCTGTTACAGAATAGGTAGCTGTTAATGTCTGAATCAAAATGCATGACCCAGAGCAGGGACAGATGGGCCCTGGAGGGACTCAGAGGCTGCAGCCAGGCCTGGCTTGGCCCAGCTGAGAAATGAAGGGAAGTCAGGCCTTGAGAGGCAGGATGACCCTCTCTTAACCTCAGGAGGCAGCAGCATCTCTTGGTCAGGGAGCAAGGAACTCCAGCATGTCCAGGGCTAGCACTCCTACTGCCTTAAGACCATGGTGCCCTTTCTCTGCCCTGGCTCCCATGGGACTCACCATGGTGGGGAGGCTCTGCAGGAAGCTGAGCTCACACTTTCCCACTGAGCTGCCGGAGGATAGGCGATCCTGTGGATGCTACTGGGCCTGAGCACAATGAACGTGGCAAGCAGTACCTGCAGAAGGAGGTAACAGCATGAGCTGCTGAAGCACTCAAGCCAAGGCACAATCATGCTTCCAGGGCCCTAGTAATTAGGGAGCTGCTCCAGACTTTGATCCAAGTCCAAACTCTAGAACGTGGGCTGGGGATGGAGAAGAGCATGGGGCTGACCAAGTTTCAGGCCTACACCTGGCAGCCAGAACACTGATCAATTTGTGTTGGGCACAGGGCTGCCTTACACTCAGTAGTGCCCACCTTATCACCAAGGTGCAAAACTACCTACAGAGTAACTTCATCTATTACACGGGCATCACATGCAGCAAATGTGTTCATAAAGATCTTCACACATTTGCTCGTGTTGCTGCTGGCACCACACCAGGAAGGAGGCAGCAGAGTCTGTGACTCCATTTTGTTTCTGGGAAACTGACCCAGAGAATCCTAGTGATGTGTCCAAGGCCAATTGGTAGGGACCAGAACTCAAACTCACATTCAGTCTTTCTGCAAAGCCTGTGTTCTTTCTATTGATAACTCAAAGCCTCCAAAGTCAAACCAGAAAGTCCCTGGTTTGGGAAACCACACATGTAAACCACAATGATATTTTAGTCCCCTTCAGTTCAGCCAGGTTCAGAGGTGTCTCACCGTCATCCAGGGTCTTGGGCTCACAGCATGTGTCTGCCATGGGAAAAATCTATGCCTGTCTCAGCACCTAGCTCTACCCCTGACTTACTGGGGGATCTTAGGTAAACGAATTCCCCTGTGCCTCAGCTTTCTCCTCTGTAAAATGGGTTGCCTCCTCTGTGGTCTTGCGGACGGGTGCTCCAAGCCACTCTGCTCTCTTAGTACTCCTTGCAGGGCCTGTCAGCTGCTTGGAAGTTGCAGGGCTCAGTGACTGCTTTCCCAGGTCACTAAGGTTCTCACTAGGAAAATTCTGGTGTTCTGCTTGAGGTCAGAATTTACACAGCCACGGGGGCACTAAAAATGCTGGGCAAGTGGCCTCCTGGGCCCACTGAATACAGCGCGAAGGCGCGAGGTGGGCGTCCAAGTGCCTCCACCCTCCCCCTCCACCCGCCAGATGAGGCGGGGTGATTGGTCATTCTAGGGTCAGGGCAGGGTACCGGCTGGGTTAGAGGTACGGGGAGGGCTAGGCGGAGGGAGGTACGGACCTTGGTTCTAGTCTGGGAGGTGCACAAATTGATGTTGTCTTCCTCCCCTCTCTAGGCCTCTGCAATACCTTCCCGTTCCAAGAGAACAGCCCCGTGGGCTCCTGGAGCAAGGAACCGGGAGTGGACAGTCTGGGGAAGGGCGAGGGGCGCGGACTGGGGATGAGGTCGGCGGCTCAGCTCCGAGGCAGGAGGGGGTGTCGGTGTACCTCCACTGCTCGGTTACGCCTGCATCAGCCACCTCGCTAACCGCCGCTGCCTCCCAAAGGCCCCGCAACGGGGAGCCCTCATCCGGGTACTCCAGGCGCGATAGGGGTGGGCGGAGCCTTAAGGGGGCGGGGCCTCTTTTGGTTGGCCGCCTCCGGCTCCTTGAGTCCTCCAAGAGGCCAGGTGAGGCTGTCCCGTGATGCCCTGCGCCTAGGCCGCTCTGGCCTGCAACGTGTATCTGGGGCGGAGGCAGAGGCAGTGGAGTTCGCCGCGCGCGGGTGGGGGCCCCCTGTCTCTTCGTTCGTGTACATCTCTCTATCGTTGCGCTTGTGTCCCGCTGGGCCGCCCCAGGCCTCGACATGTCGTACAACTACGTGGTAACGGCGCAGAAGCCCACCGCCGTGAATGGCTGCGTGACCGGTGAGGCTGCCAGGGCAGGAGACCCCGGCGAGGGAGGGAGCTGGTGGAAACCGAGGCCTAGGGAGGCCCGCGGCCCCCAGGCCGCCGGGGAGGACCGGGCCCGGGGAATGGAAGGCGCAGGCGGCCGAGAAACTTCCCGCAGCCCACGACTTTAAAGAAGCTGACTCAAAACGCGTCTTTTGGGGAGTAAAAGCTGAGCTTGAGGGTCCCTTTCGTTCTTGGAGGTCACTTAGCCTCGAGGACAGGGACGGGCCAAGTGGGACAGAGAGTGGAGTGTGAGTTGATTGTTCGCTGTTGCTTGGGTCGCGAGATTGGCCTCGTGTGGTCGGGGAAGAGGCGGTGGTGATGGCGACTTTGGGGCAAGAATTTTCATGTAAGAAGAGCCTGGGAGATGCAGGAGGTGGAGGGATGTGAGAAATGTCTGCTCTCACCCGAAAGAGAGGAGTCTGCTTTGCCTGAGGCTGTTGTTTACAAGAGCGAGCTGCTGGAGGAGAGGGTTTGGAATGTCCCGGCCCAGTGCTGGGTTTGCCTTGTTTGTTTATGCAAGAATTGTTAAGGACATAAATGTCCAGAGCCCGGGAATAATCATCTTGTACCAAGTTTTAAGCAGAATATGAAAACTTCAAACTTACATGATTATGTAAATCCTAATCATGATTCGAAAAGAAAACTCTTGTTGGCAGAGTTGGAGGCAGTGAAAGAGTGTGGATGGGGTATTGGTAGACGGCTGGGAGGGCAAGAGGTGCGGACAAAACAATGTTTTACTATAAAGCTCTGAGAATTTTCTTCATTTAACCTGGTCTGTTCGGTAAAGATGTTGTGAAAATTCAGATAAGGACTGAATAGAGATGAACACTTTCTCCAGTTTTCCCTAATTAGAGGACAAGTCTGCCATTGCAATAGGAAAAGTGAAATTCGAGGGCACAGAGCCATCTGAAGGGTTTTCACAGTCATTGTCAGTTGAAGGGCATGCTGCCCAGTCTACTTTTTTTAGTTTGATTAGGGAAGGAGCTTTCCCAAATGTATGAAGTAAGACTCTTTGAGGTGCTGGATTTGGTGAGAACGGAGTGAATAGAGGTTTTAGGTAGAAGTGTTAGGATTATTTAGGTAGTGTTTTGGCTTCCAAAATTAGAGGATCTGTTCTTTCAGGACACTTTACTTCAGCTGAAGACTTGAACCTGTTGATTGCCAAAAATACAAGATTAGAGATCTATGTGGTCACTGCCGAGGGGCTTCGGCCCGTCAAAGAGGTGGGCATGTATGGGAAGATTGCTGTCATGGAACTTTTCAGGCCCAAGGTAAGTGCTCTGGGTTGGGCTCAGCAACAAAGGGAGAACCATAGGTTGTGATTGGGTTTACGCTGTTTCATGTCATTGCTTGCTTGCAGTGGGTGCAGTAGGACTTAGGAAAGAAGGTGCAGTAGGACTTAGGACTTCTCTTCTTGAATGGCAGATTTCAGTTTACATTCTTATTTAACAGGCATCCAAGAAGTAGGAGGAGGGATTCGCTAGGGAAAAATTTATCAAGTTGACTTCTTTAGAAAGGAATATTAAAGCAGTTTGGAATGTGGGTCACCGTACTGTGGGTCATCATTGTGATTCAGAGAGTAGGGTCTAGAGTTAGGGCAGTCCTGGTTTCATTCCTTATAAAATCCAACTTTTGGTGTCACGTAGCCTTTCAGAGCCTTATTTTTCCATCTGCAAAATGGAGTGATAGTATCTCTCGGTTATTGTGAAGATTAAGTGATTTAATAACGCAGGATTTAGCGTATAACAAGCATTCACTGTTAAGACTTATCACATTATTATTATCGTTATTGTAATTCAGGTGTTTTCATCTAAATAATCACCACATTGCTTCATTATGTCTTTAACTGAATCTGACAAGAAAGCAGTGGGTTCAAAATTTTAATTTTAAGCCTTTGAACAAAGTGCTCACTTTGTTGGAATCTGTGTTAATGAGAAGGACTTTGTAGATCTGTTTGAGCTTCCATTGTTCACATTTTTTTTCTCTTTTTCCAAGTGCTTGGAGGGGATTAGGGGAGGTGTTACATTCATCTTCTGAAATCTGAGTGGAATAATTGGGATTAGAGGAGGTGGAACTAGACTAATACCGTGTTTGTAGAGCAGAGAGATGGAGACTCGGGAAAGTGGACCAGATGTTTACCAGCTTCAGTTCTGGCCTTCTGTACACACCCTTAGGCGGGGTGTATAACTAATGTGTGTTGCATATTCACCGTGGATTTTTTCTTCAGGGAGAAAAGAAAATTCTTGAAGAACTTAGCATACTTAAAGAAATGATTAAGGGCTAGACAGTTATTCTTGTTTTCAAAAGGAATCTCTTTTGATAATAAAATGTTGGTTTCCAGGGGGAGAGCAAGGACCTACTGTTTATCCTGACAGCTAAGTACAATGCCTGCATTTTGGAGTATAAACAGAGTGGCGAGAGCATTGACATCATAACTCGAGCCCATGGCAATGTCCAGGTGAGGTGGCTGCTTCCGCCTGATGAGAGTTTTCCAGGTAGGGTTGTCATGATTTGGTGAAGAAAATTAAAGTGCTGGGGCAGCTCTCTCTCTACATGATCAGAGAAACAAGAAAACACTAAGGACTTCTGTAGTTTACTCAGAGTCCAGGGGACAAGGTAATAATTCATTGAGATTCAGTGTTTTGTAAAAAGGCATGGGCTGACATTTGGGCTTCCTGGCATGTCAAAAAGATGCCACTAGTTTTAGTACCACTCCTAAAATCACCCTGGGAAGGTGGTGCCCAGTGTCGTCTGTTACTCTAGGTTCTTCCCTAACCCCAGTTTTATTTCTCAGGACCGTATTGGCCGCCCCTCAGAGACAGGCATTATTGGCATCATTGACCCCGAGTGCCGAATGATTGGCCTGCGACTCTATGATGGCCTTTTCAAGGTTATTCCACTAGACCGGGACAATAAAGAGCTCAAGGCCTTTAACATCCGCCTGGAGGAGTTGCATGTTATTGACGTCAAGTTCCTATATGGTTGCCAAGCACCTACCATCTGCTTTGTCTACCAGGTACGGGAGAAGGAGGTTTGGCACAGTGGGCGTTCATTTTGACTAATCAGAACGTCTGGATTTCATGGTAGGGTAGGCAGAAGTGTTGAATGTATTTGTCCTGAAGTGTTTTGAAAGATATAATTAATATGTGTCAGGTTTTGGTTGCATCTTGAGCGCAGTAGTACTTACTGTGGAGGCAGGAAGCAGTCTGGGGCTTGTAGCAGGTTTTAATCCTGAGATTACACTCTGGTTGTGGGCCTTGGAGATTTTATAGGGTGACCCAGTTTATACTTTGTCTCTTACTAGCATGCCAGGGGATTATTAAAACTTAGCTGTAGAGAAATGATTTGGAAATTGCCTTTGCAAGCAATGAGAAAATGTCTTGAGTATGCTTTATATGTCTTCCCAGAAGTGCATTTTGTTGATGAGCACTCACTGTCTGGTGACTGCTGGCTCTTGACTTCTATTTCAGTCTGTGCCTAAAACTTTAGCAGAACTGATCCTGGGCAGCTGTTCACTAGGCCAGATATGTTAAGGGGGGTGGAGCAGGGTGGCAGAGCTCATATCTTGATAAAATTTCAGCCTTTGAACAAAGGGCCTTACAGCATGAGGTTATTTCACTAGCATGTAGTTGAATAAATGATGGAAGGAAACTTTAGTCCAACTACTGTATGTGGACATATGAACACTTTGATAGCTGTGTTAATCTTTTTTACAATACCTTAAATATCAGAAATAAAAAGTTAGAATTTCTCTCCCTTCTTCAGTTCTGTAAATATCAGGTCATTCAAATACTGATGTCGATGTTTCAAGACTGACTGTGGACAGCCTCAGGGCTTCTGGTTGTGAAGGATCTCATTTCCTTATGTATGTCTCAGAGGCCCAGATCCAAATTTATGGTGAAGTTGAGTCTTACCCATAATCACTGATGGGAAAACCTTTCCTCAACTAAAAATCAGTTTTTCTCCTGTTTTGTTCACTAAAGTCAACTTGAAAAACACCATGTTTTGAAAGGTAGTCATGCAGAGTGCTTCAGGAGCTGTAACAGTGATTAAGATGCGGGCCCTGACCTGAAACCCACTGTCAGATTCCTTCCATAAATTCTTAGACCCTGGTCTGGCCTTTGATGAGGCCGTCCCCTGGGGCCATGCCGGCTCTTTTAGTCTCTTAAAGGTGACTTTGACAGTTCCAGGACTGAAGTGAGTCATGATTCAGAAAGGGTCGGGGGGCGGTGGATGGTGTTGACAGGGGCAGGACTGGAGGTTTCGACTAAGTTTAGAGGAGCAGCAGGCTCTCTTCTCTCTACTGTCACCCCACCAGAATGCTTCTGAGAATTGTATGAAACAAATTTGAAATTTTTGTTACATGTATGTAACTTCTCATGTGTTTTTCTCTTTAGCTGTTTGTAAGTTCATTGAAGACAAGGAGTATCGAATATATATATGTTTATGTATATATATATATACACATACACACATATACATGTATATCCTATACATACACATACAAACACACAAATGTACACATATGTACGTTACGTCTCTGTAGTGGTTCATGCAGTGTGACAAGTTTACCTTTCTAATTTTTAAGCCTTGGTTGATTCAGTTGCTAGAAGCCGTTGGCCTCAG